GCACAGCAGACTCCAGCAGGAAGAGAAAGCTCTTGGGCAAAATGCAGGTGCTGGTGGCTGGAAGTCAGACAAGTGTGCAGTGATGGTAATGACAAAGGCAGCAGGCCTCAAACCTAGTGTGCATCAGAATCACCCAGAGGGTTTGTTAAAATACAGATCACAGGACCCCACGCCCGTAGCTCGGCAGATCTGAGGAGAGACCCGAGAATCTGCATTTCTAACAAGTTTGCAGGCGAGATTGTTGCTGCTGGTCTAGACACACACTTTGAAAATCCCTGGGCTCAAGATGTGCGCAGGGCACCAACACAGTTGGTACAGACTGGATACCTGGGATAACCCTAAAACCTAGGGCTGAGCAGAGCTTAAAGCTTAAGGAAACCAGAATGCCACCCCAAAATATCTCTTTAGCATAAAAATTATTTTGAGCTGAAGGCAACTGAGAAGCAGCAGATGCAAGAAAGGCTCTCTGCCCTCCTCCAATGTGCCTGGACTCGGGACATAAACTTTCAAAGTTGTCCCTCCTCTCCTCTCTACCAGAAGGTAGAGATTCACTTTAAGTGAATCACTGGAGACAACTTTAGACACGAATAACCTAGAGATAGAGACAGGAGAATCTGTGCAACAAATTTCACTAACTAGCCTGTAGCTACCATTCATTTCCAATATATTTACCTTCCCACGACTGCCACACTTGGACATTTAAAACCACTTTCCTTTGTCTTGGCATTTCGCTACAAATTCATTATTGTTTGTGGAAGATACCATATAAGCCCGAGTTCTAAGCCACCTCTTTGAGTTACTCATTTCTATGAGTTTCTCTCATGTAGGTATGCGATATACATTAATAAACCTCTGTTTGTTTTTCTCTTGTTACCTATCCTTTGTTACATGCGCCCCAGTCAGAAACTTAGAAGGGTATAAGGAAAGATCATTTTTCCTCTGAAACAGAAACCAAGCCAAAGAGGTAAGATATACTTTGGTTTGGACCTCTATAGGAAAATCCTTCCCACCTCACCCAAATCCTGTGCCCAGGAGTCATATGCCTATGGAGATGAGACCATGTACCAGCAACCCTCACACCTGCTGTGGCCAAGGTTAAGGTCTCTCACAGCATCCTGACGATACAGCCACCCTAGGAGTACCATCAGGGTCTTTTTGTCTGAGGGTGGCCAGGCAGGCATAGGTCCCAGTGGTGAAGAGTACATACAAACAATTTTTCTGAAAGGATCCAGCTTTTGGCTTGAGAATCAAATCCAGCTGGTGACCAACTGAGTTTAGGAAGCTGCTTCTCTTGGTACAACACAGAGCTTGCTAGCAGCAGCTCTGCTCCCACTGCCAGCACAGTGGCAGGCAGTGCTGTGTCCCTTCCTGTCAAGCCTCAGAATCATTGTGTAGTGACCTTGACATCCTCCTGCTCTGTTCTGGAAAAGGCAAATCTTTCAGAAGATACCCCCCAAATAATCTTTGTCACCTACACTCATTCAACATCTCTATGGTAACCAGAAAAATAACAGGCCTCCTGTCCTTTGGTGCTTATTTACCTCAAGAGCACATACTGGCAGGGAACAGAGAATCCTAAGTAAAAACTGATGCTTATTTCACCATACTCAATTTCCAGTTGAAACTTACACTGTTGGTTTCACAACACAAAACCCCTCATGACCTCTTAAGAGATGAGAGCAAAAGGCAGGGAGGCAGAGATAACAAATTTATCCTTCAGAGGAACAGAGGCATCCTCATTTATCTTTTACAGTGATCACCCCCAGCAAAAGAGCATGACAAAGCCACATCCCCATGCTTCCATTTTGAGACCTGGGTCACTGCCACAAAAGCCACGGTGTTAAGCCTCAACCCACTGCAGATATCTGGACTCTTCCAGTTCAGGTCAATCAGTAGGGAATGCTGAGGTCAACACCCCTTAGGAGGCACTGTAATTAGCTGCAGTCCAGAGCTGAACATTAAGGGAAAGAAAAATTCTCCCCCTTGCAAATCAGAACGTTTTTTCCAGCTTTCCCAATGGGTTGCCAAGTGACTCAGCATTGGCCTGTGTGGGCACTATTATTGATGAGAAATCTTCTGCCTGGGTGATATACTGCATATAACACATGCCCAAAGAACAGTGCCAAGTCATACCAGAAAGAAGGCGAATTATTCACCTCCACTTCGAATGTAGGCGAATCCTGTCTTAATGCAGGGGCTACTCAGCATCAGAAAGACAAAGCCCTAAGATCATCAGAGACTTCCTTCTAAGATTCAAGGAATTATTAGGCAGAGCCTCTGCTTTCTTGTTGACTATTAAAAGGCAATCAAATTGAGGACAGCAGAGAAAAAGGACAAGAAAAAAACAATTTTTCAAAAACAACCCCAGAGCAGAAAACTGCATAAAAGCCTTCAGCTAAGTGTTGCCTTTGTGAGTACTACGAGCTCCACCCAGAGGTCATTTCTAGAACTGCATGTTTGTTTAATTTGGAGAAAAACAATCTTCATGGCCTCACTTGCCTTACAGAACTGCTGGAAATTCTTGGACAACAGTCCCTCTTTCTTGTCTTTCACTAAAGGAACTGCTCTGAACTCTGAAATACAGGATATACTTGGGAACAGGATAGGATCCAGTAGGACAATAGCCTTTTATCTTCACTTCTGGCAGGTTGAACCCAACTAAAAGACAACCCGAAGTGTTCAAAGAATACAGCATGTCCTCAAAAAACATCATTTCATCCAACATCGTTTTGTTATAATGTTGATGAGATGCCATAGGAACTTAAATCTTGTTCATATCAATTAGCCTATGGTAAAAACTGGTCTCAGTATACATTGTTTCACTCAAAGTTGTAGAACCTATTGATGATGGTAAGTGGGGACTTACTGTACTTTTAGAAGAAACACTGAGGGTTCTCATGGAAATAAAACATAAAATTGGAGAGCAACTCTGGGGGGAGGCAATCAGGAACATGTCTAATATTAAGACTGAGAATAATTCTTCAAAAACCCATTGGCCACTTGCCTAGAAGGCCTAATTGTAAGGCCTCCACTCCCTTATGCAACTCAGGAGATCTCCCCAAGACAATCACCCTCCATACTTCCAAAAGAACTAACTGCAGTCCCCAAAACATTCCCCTGGTATCCATCCATTCACAACAGCCACAAACCCCTCGCCACTCCACCCCATCCTCCACACTGGCTACGAGGGATCGGACTAGGCCCAAGAGCCCCCGCATGCACTGAGCTGTCAACTACCCAGTGGAAAACACATCCTGTTCCACATATCACAAGCTAGCCCAACAAATAAATGAAGCCTTCAAAAAAAACCCAGTATGTTGGTGTTGAAACTTTCATCTACCATCTGGAAAGCTTCTCATCACAGCCTGCATGTTCCTGCCTTCATCAGCTTACACCTTACATGACTTAAGACAACTCTGACAGATTCTGAAGATGGAAAAAATCCAACTTGCCCTTTGTCTTCCTCCAACAGCCCCTAACCCCCGCCGTCCAATTCTTTCTTCACTGTAAATAGTGAACAGCCTTTTCTTGTCTATTGACAAAAATATCTATGGCAATGTTTATCCATGTCAGGAGTGTTAAAGCTTTTGAAAATGTCCTTGCTAAACCTCTGCAAGTTCTCATTTGAACAAGGCTAAGTGTTCCCAGAATGTTGCCCTTTTTTAATGGACTTGACTTTTCTAGAGCAGACTTAGGTTCACAGCAAAATTGAACACAAAGTTCAGAGATTTCCCATGTACCCTCTGCCCCCCACACCTGCATAGCCTCCCCCATCAACAACATCTGCATGAGACCAATGCATTTCTTACAATTGATGAACCTACGATAACACATCATCATCACCCAGAGTCCAGAGGTTACATTAGGATTCATAGGATGTTGTACATTCTAGGGGTTTAAACAAGTGTATAATGACATGTATCTACCATTACAGTATCATACGGAGTAGTTTTAACACCCTAAAAGTTCTTCCCCCTCTTTGTTTCTTGAGCATAAGGCAAAAAATATTTGTGCTCAGCATGACAATCTGACTCTAAGCAGTATTTCCTGGGCCTGCCTCGTGACAATAATCGCCAGGGAGACTGGTGATCACAAATACTTAGACCACACCCTCAATTCACTATATCAGACCTGGTTGGGGAGGGGCCCAAAAAACTATAGAGTGTCCAGACACCCCAGGTGATTGCTACCATGAGGAAAGTCTCAAAAACATATCTCTAAAAGGAGAGATGCTCCTAATTTTAGAGTCTCCCAGCTGCACAGCAGCACATGTTAAGAATGTAGCAGGTGTTCCCTATGCACTTGAGCTCCGGTTCCATCAGAATACCTAGAATTCAAGATGGGTCCCATTCTTCATTCTCAACAGCATGGCTTCTAATACTTTTCTCACTCATTCCCTTATCTTGTTGCACCGTACCAGAAAATTTTATAAGGCCTCACAAGTGTCTACTTGTATTAGGAGATATTTTTCTATTCCTACACAATTGTCTGCCACTGGTATGCAGTTCACTTGCATGCTGGTTGGATCACTTGTGCAAAATGATGGGTTAGAGAGCAAATCTGCTAGGTTACAGGAAAGGATTCGCCTAAGGGCATTTGCACACATTATACACAGAACAGAAGGACACAAGGCCAATATGGGTTTGTCTCCTTTGTGCCTTGAGGGCTCTTCTGCCAGCTGCTCCCCAAGGCTCCCCACTGCTCTGCATTCTGCCACAGCCAATGATGTTTTATGGCAAAAATTCACTGGGCAGCAAGCCATGTGTCTCTTACAGACGGCAATTAGGAGAGAAGGAAAGGCTGAATTACAAGGTGTTTGAAAATGCAGTTCAAAAAAGAAAAAGTCATCGTATTTTCTCTCACCTGCTGGTGATGAAATGTATGTATTCATCCAAAACAGACATCTAACTTTAGGGTCATTCAGAGTCAACAGCTCACTCAATATAAAAATCAAGTTCACCATGTTGTTGTTGTTTTTTCATAAAAAAAAGAATCCTTACCTTTTCTTTGGCTTTCCTTTTGGTCTCTGCATCCATCCACTCGTTTTCTTTCTCCAGCATGTCAATGAAGGCCCAGCGAACACCCTCAATCAATTCCTCCATCTACAAAACCAAACAAAAAAATACCCAAAGAGGCAGGTCGAAAACCAAGAAGCTTCAGACAAGGTTTTCTAGGCTATGGGAAATAGTTCAGTGCTAAACAAGGTAGGAAAGAGGCTCCTTTCAGCCTGACTCCACGCTCAAGCAACATGACTTTTCCTAGGAAAAAGCTCCCCTGCCGTGACAAAATAACCATTTCTTTCCATCAGAACAGCCATTAGCCCCTTCTTATCAAGGTGCGACTAATTTCAATAGTCTAATAAGGGTCTGGGAGACAGAAGCAAAGGCATGGGCTGTGCATTTCAGACAGGTATTGCAGAATAAAGTCAGTGACCAGTTGAAAGAGATACTGTGAACAAAGAAACAGGCAAGGAGAACTAGCATGCGGAAATACACACCTCCAATATAAATCACACATGTCAGGACCCCAGTTCTTTCCGAAGCCAGTGCCAGTGGTTACACCAAATGCTTGGCTGTTCTCCGTGGTCTCCCTACTCTCCTCTCCCCTCCCTCGCAGCTCAGAAAAGCCTTATGCTATTTCAAATCTCAAATGGGAGGTCTAAAGGGGGCGCTACAGAAAGGCTATCTCTTGAAAGACCTGTCCCAAGTGTTTCAACAGTGAGACCACACCCGTGTTCGTGGTTTTCTTCCAGCATTCATTTGTGCATCAGCAGAGAGGACTCGCGGTCGCGGGTACACGCTAACACTTCACTTCAGAGGCCCACATGGAACAGTCTGGTGAGGAACTGCCTGTTTATGGATGCGAACCTCTCGAAATTCCAGTCTCCCGAAGAGATGCTTCAGTTGTATTAATAGAAGACTCAAGAAAGAGTAAATAGTGGGTTTAGCACCAGAATAAAATTTTCCATTTGACATAATGGGGTGGCAAATCCATTTTTAGAATTAATTCTTAAAGGAAAAAAAGTTTAGATGTTCCCTTGGTTCTAGAATAAATTGTCAGCACAGAGCTCAAAATAATTTTTTTTTCTGTTTAATAAGTTTTCAGCTATGTTTTCAGTTCAATAACAGTTGTAAGGAACCAGAGTTGTAAATCAGTGGGCTGGGTTCCATCGTATGTAAATAAGAACAAACAGCAGATGGAAAAGGATGGGGGGAACCTCACAGCTATTTCTTCCCAACTTCGTCAAAACATTAAAAGAAGAGAAAATCTCAACTTCGGATTGGGACATGATAAAAACATGAAATGACAGAAGAGCAAAGACCTTTTAAAATTATTAAGTTACTGGTTCTCAATCTTGTCTGCATACTAGGATCTCTGGGGACAGCTTTAACCAGTGCCAAGGCCTGAGAATCAGGGTGCTGGTGGCATTGGTCTGGGTGCAGCCTGGGTGTCCAGAGTTTTAAAAGCTCTTAGGTGATTGTACAGACAGGGTTGAGACCCACTGTTCTAGGGGAAGCCATTTATTTTACAGGTAAAGAAATAAATGTCAAGAGAATCCACAACGTGTTCCAGCTCTTACAGCTAGGGAGGGTCAGAGCCAGGGCCCCACCACAGTGCTAAATGATAGTCATGAGCTCAGAGCTCCTAGGAGCAACAGGGGTGTCCCTAACAAATCAGAGGAAAATGCTAGGGAAGTGGAAGGGAACCAACAGAGAGATGCAGAAGTAAACATTTCAAACAGAAAAACTACACAAGGAGGATGCTAAAACGGCAAGGAAATCTCCAGGGACTAGATCTTTTGCCCGTGCAGTCACCAGCACCCCTGTGTCATTATGACCTCCTAATGCAGTGACACACATCATCCCATCCATTCCCTTCACATAAAGAGGTATCTTCCTGAACCAGGGAGGGGCCGTAAGGATGCAAAGGCGTGGGTGCATTGATTTGAGAGAGATTCAGTGACCAAATCAGTGGAACCAGATGATTAATTTGTATGTGGACAGGTGACGAAAGTGGGGAGAGTCAGATTAAATCCCAGGCTTCAGCTGTGGGCACCTACATGGATCCCACTGCAATTTTCTAAGACTGGGAATATTGCAAGGGAAAGGGCTGGGGACAGAAGGCAGACATCAGTGGGATGAACAGGACATGGGAAGTGGAGACAGCAAGTCTGGGGAGAAAGCAAAGACAAAGTAGAAGAGGATGTAGGGTTAAGAGAGGGGTCTGAGGGTCTGGGGTTTGGGTTGTGTGCGTATGTTTGTTGCTGCTGTACACTGCTACTGCTGCCTCTGTTCTGGTTGTTGACCATATGAGGAACTTGGAAACTCGACAATAAGAAAACAAACAACCTGATTTTAAAATGGGCCAAAGACACCTCACCCAAGAAGACATAGAGACGAGAAATAGCCTGTGGAAAGATGCTCCACATCATATGTTATGAGGAAAATGCAAGGTAAAACAATGAGATACCAGAGCACACCTGTTAGAAGGGCCAAAATGCACAACACTGACCAACACCAGATGCTGATGAGCATGTAAAGCAACTGGAGCTCTCAGTCGTGAGAGTACAAATGGTACAGACACTTTAGAAAACAGTTTGACAACTTCTTACAAAACTAAACATACTCTTACCATATGATCCAGCAATTGCGCTCCTTGGTATTTACCCAAAGGAGCTGAAAACTTATGTCCACACAAAAACCTGCACATGGATGTTTATAGCAGCTTTATTCCTAATTGCCCAAAGTTGGAAACAACCAAGCTGTCTTTCAGTAGGTTATTAAATGGGTAAGTAAACTGTGGTTCATCCATATAATCAAATATTACTCAGTACCAAAAGTAAATAAGCCATCACATCCTAAGAAAACATGAGGGAACCATAAGTACATATTACTAAGTGAAAAAAACAATCTGAAGAGGCTACATATTATATGATTCCACATATATGACATTCAGGGAAAGGCAAAACTATGAAGACAATAAAAAGATTAATTTCCATGGGTGAGGGTGGGGACAAGATGAACAGGCAGAGCACAGAGGAATTTTAAGGTAGTAAAAATACCCTGCATGATATTATAATGATGGATATGTGTCATTACACCGTTTCCAAACTCATATAATGTACAATGCCAACAGTGAACCCTAAGGTAAACTATGGACTTTGAGTGATTATGATGTACTGATGCAGGTTCATCTTTGGTAAACAAATGTAACACTCCGTTAAGTGATGTTGATAATGGTGGATACTGCATATGTGGGGTCACAGGGTATATGAGAAATGCCTGTACATTCCTCTCAATTTTGTTATAAATCTAAAAAACTAAAAAGTATCTTTTTAAAAATGAAAACAACCCCAGCTGGTGTAGCTCAGTGGATTGAGAGCTGGCCTGCGAACCAAAGGATCGCCTGTTCGATTCCCAATCAAGGCACATGCCTGGGTTGTGGGCCAGGTCCCCAGTCAAGGGCGCATGAGAGGCAAGCACACATTGATGTTTCTCTCCTTCTCTTTCTCCCTCCCTTCCCCTCTCTAAAAATAAATAAACAAAATCTGTTTTTAAAAAAATGAAAACAAGATACTGATAGAAAGGATCCAGTGAGGAAGAAAATGTTGGAAACATGGGAGCGAAAGAAGACATAAATGGTCCATGAGAGGGCACAAGGGGACAGTAACCAAAGAATACAGTTGACCCTTGAACAACACAGGTTTGAACAGCGAGGGTCCACAAATATGCGAATGCTTAAACACAATGCGGTTTGAACTCCGGGGGGTGGGGGGTGGGTGTCCACTTATAGGTGGATTTTAAATGCCATTCCTGGGCATTATAATGACTATGAAATTAATTAACATTTTAAGCATTTTGCCTAAGTTTTTCAAAGCTCCCCGTCTGTACACTGCTGATTGGCATGTCAAATGAAAATAAAAAGAAGCAAAACCATTCCAGCCTATGGCCAGGGGAAAGAATGACAAATAATTGCTATATGCAGCTTCATTCTTACTCTTCCTTTCCTTCTCACTCAGTATCTTTGTGGCCCTCACCGATGTCAAAACCCAAGTAGTAGTCACTCCCCTCTTTGCTTTCCCAAGAGCTTCAGCTGGTCTCTACTCTCGTCCTCTCAGGTGCCAGCACCCCTCGTCCCACTCCCCATCACAGGTTCTCATTTTTGTCGGTTTTGCAGCCTTTACAGACGTATATAACAGTTCTGTGAAATGGTGCTGAACTAGCCCAGCAGGCTTGAAGAGCAAGGAAAATCTTGAAGGTGACCAATGTCATCAGTACTTGGCATGTCAATGCAAACAAGAGAAAAAAATGATTTTAGCATGCTGGAACTACAGAGATAAATCAGTGAACACTTCTTATTTTTATCTTCAGACTACTCTACAGCATCACATAATAACATGGCCTTCAGTCAACTCATGTTCCCCAAGGCAGCGAAAGCCTGCTATAATTTTAAAATAAATAAGAGAAATCTTGACCTAATGCCCCAACCAGGCAACATATAACATTAATAGAAATTACTTAAAGTGGAAGTCATAGGTCGAAGTGATCCATAGAAAATATTTATTGAGTCAAAAGTCAAAATACAACATATAAAACTTAACTCAAGTGTTATTATGGTAAAACCTGGCACATTCAGGATAAGGGTCCTCCAGGCAAAGCAGTGATTTGTTAAACATCTATTTATTTTGGATTTGATGGATCCACACTATGAAAATATAGTGCATCTGATTGGGCACTTGTTAGTTTTCTACCTTAAGCAGTGTTATTTAAAAGTCAGTTCCCCTTCTTATTCCCTGCACCCCAGGATTTTTTTCCATAGTGTTCTACATCAGACACCAGACACTGGTGAATCACCCATGCCTATGCATGCAATGGTTACGCTTCCATCAAAGGTTTTTTGTAATGAGATTCTCCTATCTTAAATTACAAATGGTTTCACCTGTTGTTTCTCTTTGACCTCTTCTTACCCTTTCTCCCATCACATGGACATAGGAATTCTGTGGTTTTTTATAAGATGGTTCAATTAATGCACTTGAAGGGACATATGCCAATACTGGCATGCCTTGTTTTATTGCATTTCCCTGTATTGTGCTTCCCAGTTT